TTTGTTCAGTTTTAATCTAAGCCATGAAAGCATCAGTACAAAGCTCCAGGTGGACACAACCAAAGCTAGAACTGCACTGCCATTAAACCAGGTGTCTATTACCACTAAAAACAGCTTTGCCTTTAAGAGTCTCCATGGTAGGACAGTACAGGTTCACATCCAGGAGTGACTTACCTCTATAACAGCAACACCAGTGCAGACCCCAAGAATGACACCAAGGTTGTCCTTCAACCACTGCTCTACACCATCCATGCATCCCTATGCAGAAAATAGGGAAGGAAGTATGAATTGAAGGATCTCAAGACTGAAAATCCATAACACATCTCCTTGTCCATGCAAGGATTATCCCAGTTACTTCTGTACCAAGTATCACAGTAGCTCTAGCAGGAAAGGGCAGGATCCCTGTCTCCCCTATCAGAATTTTCACAGGTATTTTAAGCAAGACTGACATGAAAACAACACTAAATAACTCCAGAGGAACAAAGACAAGGTAAATTCAGTGGAAACTTCACAGGGCCCAGACGTACACACTCACCTGCTGATGAACAGGCCAGTCAGCATACGTCACAGTGTCGTTGGTGGGGACATCCAGATTACAGAAACCAGTATCTACCTGAAAATCCTTGGAGCTATTGGAGCAGGAGCAAGGATATGCAGTCATGCTTTGGTTGATAAGAATCTCATTGTTTTCCCAGTCCTTTGCTCCAGTCCAGCCACAGCAGGCAATCTGATAAGCAAAAAGAGATCATCGTGGTCTTACACTTTGCACTGGTAACATACTGCATATGAAGACAAACAGGCAGTAGAGGTAGAAGTAAAAAGGAGTTCTCTGTGTGACAACAGCCAGGTCATACAGTTTGCATGAATTAGTGATGTTAGAACACCACCCTGGTTACCAGATGACAACCTATGCATGGGGTTGTCCAGAAGACAGGGGCTTTATTTCCTCTGCTAGCAAGACAAGTTAAAGGGCCACTTCTAGCAGCCTTTGAGCTTAGTAAACTAGAATATGCACAGGTCATCCATAGAGTTCTAGTGCACCAGTCATGCTAGAATATGAATCCTTCACAAGCCTTACTGCATGAGGCATAGATACTCAGATTTTAGCAGGCCATACAGCTTGACATTGATTCTACAGAGTACAATCTTTTGCAGACTAAATACTAGCAAACCTCATCTTATTTCCAGGTGACAGTGCCGAAAAGAGGGGAAAGTAACAAAGACATTGCTGGTGGGTCAGCTGGAAGAGGGCAGTTGGCCTGTATGACATGTTTGAGAGGTGTTTTTCAGTCCCTCCAGTTCACTGCCAGCAGATTAATTTGGTGAGGGTGCCACAAGGAAGGCAAGAGATTAATGTGTTGACAAGACAACACAGGTATTCAAAGACATCTCAAAAGGATGGAGCAAGGAGCTGGATGGTCTCTTCTCCCAACTAACAAGTGACAGGACAAGAGGAAACGGGCTCAAGCTGCACCAGGGGAGGTTTAGATGGAGCTGAGGAACAATTCCTTGTCCAGAGGGTGCTCAGGCATTGGAACAGGCTGCCCAGGGCAGTGCTGGAGTCACCATCTCTGCAAGTGTTCACACACTGTGTAGATGACACCATCAGTGCCAGGGGTTAGTGGTGGCCTTGGCAGTGCTGGGGAATGGTTGGACTTGATGATCTTGAAGGTCATTTCCAACCCGTTTGGTTCTATGATCACTACCTAGTCATCTTCCATAGCGATGCCACTTCCAGAGGCTTAAATGGTAAGAGTTGATTTTTCTCTGAGTAACACACATCTTTGATCAGACACTAAGCATTGAATTGCCATGTTCTGGTTCCCAACTGCAAGGTACCACTGATCTGAGCTGTGGCCCCCGGGGGGACACCAGCAGCCACCGCACGATGGCGTCAACATGCCACCGAGCCCCAAGGAGTCACTGAGTTCACATCCACATGGCTGCAGCTGGGACTGGCTGGAAGATGGGACCAGGGAAATTTTCCATGAGAAGAAACATTTACATTCCTATATAGCCACGTGATAAAACTGCAGTTGCTGGAGGGGAAAGCACATCGGGAAGTCCAGCAAAGATAGCCTGAGAGCTGGGCTTTTTCAGCCTGGAGAAGAGAAGGCTCCGAGGAGACCTAGTGACAACCTTCCAATACCTAAAGGGGCCTACAAGATATCTGGAGAGGGGCTTTTTAGAAGGGCCTGTGGTGACAGGACAAGGGGAATGGCTTTAACCTGCCAGAGAGGAGATTGAGATGAGCTCTGAGGCAGAAGCTCTTCCCTGTGAGGGTGCTGAGGCGCTGGCACAGGGTGCCCAGAGAAGCTGGGGCTGCCCCATCCCTGGCAGTGTTCAAGGCCAGGTTGGACACAGGGGCTTGGAGCAACCTGCTCTAGTGGAAGGTGTCCCTGCCCGTGGCAGGGGTTGGAAGTGGATGAGCTTTAAGGTCTCTTCAACCCAAACCAGTCTGGGATTCTGTGATCTTAAGCATGGATCCTAGTGCTTACAAGGTGGAACAGAGCAGAAGATCATCAAACTTGAGGTGGAAATTTAGGGGAAAATCCCTCCCTGCTCAGAAGGAAGAGTAATGTTTCAGTCTGACGTCAGGGACATGAGAGCGGATGTGCAAACAGCTGAACACCCACACCAGAATAAGCATTTGGTTTCCAAACAAGAGTTGAAGATCCAGACTCTAGAAGGAGCTTCCTCTACCTCACAGAGGTTTGGGCTTTTAACTGCAAGCTGGTCTATGAACAACCACCCCATTTCAAATGCTAACTCCAGTGTATGAGAGGAACTAGGGTCCTAACACTTGACTTCTCCACCTCTACAAAACCTTCTTCTTCTGTTCCTACACAAAAGAAAGGCTCAAGCATGATAGTCCACAGTAGACTCGGGCTTCTCTTGGGTCCACTAGCAACTACAGTGATAAAACATAAATCATTCCCTCTCCAAGGAGGAGAAATACTGCAAGTCAGTGTTTTGCAGACTGAAGAACAGACATAAGAAAACCACTCGTACTTACTACACATCAGTCCCATGCTGGGCATGTATTTAAGCACAACAGCCAGCTCTCAAGCTTATGGTTTGGCAGCAAACAGCTATGATGACTCCAGTGTGCCTGAACACTGACCTAGTTGCTCAAGTGCTGACCCTGATGCTAAAACAGAAACCATAGGCAGTTGGATGGCTCCCAAGAACACTGACACTTGCAGAAGAGCCATCACAAGCAAGTGATACGCACCAAGCAGTAAGGCAGGAAGTGCTGCTGACGTGCCTTGCAGTAAATATGCACTGTGGCTTTCACTTAGGCTACTATTCTGGAGGCCCTGCAGACAGAGAGAAGTGTCGGGGTGCCATCTGTTAAGCCAGATATATCAGGCTATGCAGCCAATACTAGCTAGTCCTAACAGCCAGAATATGGGAATGTTCTGGGCTTTTATCTTGCAATAGCAAACAAGACAGTTTTCTAGTCTGCAGGCATCAAACCTCACACTCAACTGTGTAGATCAGCCAGATCAATGACCTATAGTACTGCCTCTTGCAATACCTGCTTCCTGTCCTCAGCCTAGTTTTAAAGGCCACTGACTGCACTGACAAAGAGCACCATCTGCCTCTTGCTGACCCCCATGACTCACCTGGGTTTGAACATAGTCCCATGCATCTTGCAAGTTCCTCTCATCATCATTCCAAGGGTTGTATTTTTCAATCAGACTTCGAACTATGCGGGACAGCTCTTCCTTCAGCTGGCAAAGAAAACAGGCCGGAGAGTTAGTCAATTCCTTGGAGCCTTTTCTTTAGGGCTTAGGGTACATGCCGCTTTGGTCACAGAAAAACCCAAAGCTAACTGTATGTTGTGGTTTAACACCAGGACACCGCAAAAAGTAACACATAAGGTGATATATACAGCCTCTGTCTTGAAGGGAGGACAAGACAGCAGCTTTGCTATGCAATACAACAGCCAAAGAACCAGTACTTCCCAGCAAGTCCTTACCTAGGCACAGAGAAAGGCTGCAAACCTGGCAAGCAACAAGGAAACAGAAGGTGGTATGGTTATCCTGGTAAGACACAGGCTGAAGAAGTGCTGCCTGCCCCAGGTGAGACAGAGGCGAAAGCTAAGTGCAAGCTGAAGGACAACACTGCCTTAAGTACTCATAGGTAATGTTATCTCTAACCTTGCACTGCAAGGGAGACTCTGGCCCAGGATCTCAGTCACTGCAGGTCTTCTCCACGACACAGGGAAGGTCTGAGTCACTGTGCTCCTGTGTGCAGCTGGGTTTTGACACACAGCTGGTGGAAACTTCCCTTTTTCACAAGGCATTGATCTGCCTCTCCCCAAACTCCTACAACTGCTGCTTCTATATTAAGACAGGAAGCACTACAACTGCCTAAACTGTTCATTATCAGTCTTCTCATAAAGCTCAGGTGTATGAAATCATCCCTTCGCCCCCATTCCTTATCATATTCACACCACCTCGCAGTTTGAGGAGAGGTGCAAGATACCACCACCAGACTCCTTCACCTTCTTCCTCCCACCTCCTTCTGACACTCTTCTCAGCCAGCCTGTACACAAAGATAGCTGCTACTACTAAGGACAGACCCAGATCACAAAAGGCTGGAGAGAAGCATCACTAGATTGTTTCAGGGATAGGACAGAGTTACATCAGCCTGAGCACTAGGATGCTCCCATCCTGTGTATTTTGTCTGTGGTGCTACAGCATATTTCAGGTCAGTGGAAATGGTTTTTCCCTTTCCTGCTACTGTTAAGCATGCAAATGACCATGGCAAACCCACAGACACCCAGCAAGACTACTGTTAAGAGAAGGTTCTCTATATCAGCAACTCTTCTTCCCAGGAAGATTGCAGCTCAGGTCACTGGGATCAGCTGTGTCAGGCCAGACAGATGGGAGCTGCATGGTCTTTCTTCTCATGATGTCTAGCTCTTCCCCTTTTAATTACTTCGCTTCCCCTTTTCCTTCCCTGCAAACCAAGGCAACCTGACCTGGTTCTCACTAATGAGATTGGCCTTAGCTGCTACCATAAGCCTTATCAGTTACTGAACCTCTGAGTTCCCACCCTCACACTCCTGCTCCACATGCAGAGGGGGGCAAGGAGAGCTGGGCTTGTCATCCTACCCTGGGTCCATCTAGCCCCTTAGCTATTAGGCCAGAGGGATCCTAGTGTCACTTCTGCATGAATCCAGGCAGTGCCTCTGTTCTCCATCCCAGGAGAAGCAGAGAGACAGGGTCTGAACTAGATGTGCTCAATCACAGCTGCATAGGGAAACTGTACGTCTGCTCTTCCTCGACTCTCACACAAGAACAAGCAAGAAGCCTTACAAACAACTGTGGTTTCAAAAGGTGAGGCATTTCAGTTAAACTCAGACTTCCTCAGGTGTTTCAGGAAGTAACTGGAGAAAGGGGGAATGTTGTGAAAACAATAGCCCAGCTCTGGAGAGCACAGACAGAGGCAGCTTGTTCACACAGGCTTACCTGGCAGAGCAGCCTAAAGGGGAAACACAGGCACATGCAGCTGATCACTGAAAGAGCAATGAGCTAGAAAGGCATATTGAACACTTGGGCAAGCTTTCAATATCCTATTTTCACCCACTTAAGGCCTGTCAGGACCCAGTGTTGTGTGGATCATGATTGCTACCCTTGCTTTCTGCTGCTTCCCAGCCCTAGCCTGGTGTCAGAAGACACAACCCCAGCACCCCAGAGCAGAAACATTCAAATCCAAAGCACCACAAAGCCACAGACCTCTGGCAGAAAGCAGCAAGGCTGCCAGTCTTCCCTTCACACAGGCTTACTGAAGAGGGAGCTGGGGAAAGCTGAACACCAGAGGCAAGAGCACAGGTCTTTGGTTCCAGTATTGATCACAGAATGAATTGTGCAGGCTTCTTCCACTGTCAGACACCATCTCAGTCGCTGTCTGACACTCAAGCTACATCTTTCCTCCAGCATTCATTAGCATCTAGCCTACACACCAAAATAAGCTCAAAAACACAGGAGAGGGCTCTCACCCCCGCAGTCACTTCAGATTCTGACACTCATGAATAGCCCATAGCCCCAGACAAGTAGCTGCACGCAAACACACAGGCCTGTTTGCTGCAAACAATAGCTAGCAAGGAGGGTAATTCCCCAAAGACCACTGCTCTGCTTTGCTCAAGCCATTTAGAGCCAAGCTGCTCTGTGACCTTGCCCAGGCTCTCGCACGTATAAGGGCTTGTGACCCACTAGATGTAGGTGAGCATCAACAGTGAGTTCACAAAGCACAAAGCCATTTGAGACATTACTATTTTTGTTGTCCCAAAAAAACCCCACCCCACAGTTTCGGTTGCCAACAGATGCAGGGAAATGGGTGTTGCATCAACATCCTCCCTGTAGTTCTGGGCAATTCCAGTCTGAAGGGGCATTCCTCTAGCAATGCCCATGGGGGAGGCAAAGCAGCAGCCTTCCTGTCAGAGACTCAGCCTTTTACAGTTGCATTAACTCTATTTCAGCATATTTTCATATATCAGGGTGGGGATTTTAGCAATGAAAAGGAATAAAGACTCCAACAAAAAAAAACCTATCCAGTCAATCTGTAGCAGCCAAGCAGGAAAAGGACATGTAGAGAGGAGTACAATAACAACCCTGTCTACTGCAGTGCAGTAATAAATACTTCGGTTACAAGAAGCAGAGGAGCAAGTATCACCCTGCTATATTCTGGATCCACTCTTGTAATTCCTTGTTTTATATCTAACCACGTTCCTGACGTTAGAAAGAAATAAACACAAGGAACACAATAGACATGCAGGGGCTGGATCCTGAGTAGTTTAATTTGCTTTTCACTCTACTAGATGACGTACATCAAGTGAAGCAGAGCGACATGCACAGCATCACTGAAGCGCAGCCACCGCGCAGTGTATGGGAGGTTTCAGCAAAGACCTTCCTGAAACAGTTCTTCTTAGTGCTCTAGGCAGGGACTTCAGAGGATGTCCAAAATAAAAGGGCTCTAGAAGAGCTTTTCCATGAGTTTTGTTCACTGGGCATCTGCTCAAAGCCCATCTCTGCCCATCATTCTGCTGGATCCATACAAATGGTGATCTCAGCCACACCAGCTCCAAGGGCTACGCAGAAAACCCCCAGCACTTTCTTTCTCCCCTTGGTCTGACTGAGGTTCAAATGAAGAACTACAGCTCAAAAGCTGGAGTTTTCTAGAGCAGAGTGACAGCTGGAAGAGAAATACCAACAGAGGTACGGAATTTCATGGTCTGCAATAGTCACATTTCCCTGTTGCAGGGGAATGCCCATCCCCACACATCCTCCTCTGCATTAGTCAGAACTGTGCGTTGAGAATCAGCAGCTTGTTTAAAGCTCTACCTTTACACACCAGTTAGCCAACGTTTCAGTTTCTCCTGCAGCTCCAGCCAGCCCAGAAAGCAAGCTGTGTTCACATTGCCAAGGAACCCAGCCAACAACTGCTCACAGGCAACACAGCCCCTTGTACAAAGCTCATACCAGCTACACCCGGGGCAGGCACCTTCACCTCACTCTCAAACTTCACCACCAGGCTCCATCCATAACTTCCTCAACCACTTGCTTTGTAAACCCTCCTAGCAGGAGGGTTGGCTTAGGAGAAGCAAGCACAGCAGTGCAGTGGTATAGATATACAGCTATGTGGTAAAGGACAGGGTTATCCAAAACTGGAACAGCAACATGCACACTGGGACAGAAGGCAGCAGGGTCTCCACAGTCATAACTTGCTCCCAGTTTAGCTGTCAAACAGCTGGAGGCCTGACTGGGCACTGCCTGGCCAGTGAACCTATAGTCAGAAGAGGCTGTTGCAATGCACTCGAGTAGCTCAAAGGTTATTCCCTTTATGCTACCAAGCCTATTGGACCTCTAGAAGCTGCACTGAAACTGCATTCCTGACAAAGAGATCCACTTCAAAATGTTAAACCACTTGGCTTCAAGCTCAAACTGCAGTACAGGAACTGTCAGATACTTGGGGTTGCTCTTGGGGAAAGAGGGCAGTTCTTCCAAGGAGAGCTTCACATACAGACGCAGAAGGACTGAAAGGATGGAACACGATGACACAAGGAGGGAGGCCAGGCAGAAAAGCAATCACTTGGGCTGGTAACCCCTCAAGGCACAAGTGATGGCAACACAGCAGTAATCACTGCTACTACATGCCCAAATAGTAGTCTACAGCAGGATCAAGAGGAAATGTGGTCAAAAGCCTTCCAGGAATTTCTTTTTGCTATTCCCACTACCCAAAAATAAAGCCTGCATACCAAACAGAGCTTCATAATCCTTGAGAAAGTAGCGCTACTGAGACTGGCAGATAGACAAGCAGAAAACTGTACAGCAAAGCTGCTGAGCTGGGGTAGAGGAAGGAGAATCCAGTTCTGCCAGTTAATAGTACAGCCCAGTTTGGAAGAAAGAATTTCCAGGTGTCTCCTATGCCCCCAAACCAAGACCAAGGAAAACATGCACAGTAAGAAATACTTACCGTTTCCTTCTGGAAGTAGATGACCAGTCCAGCAGCAACCTGAGTTATGAGGATTATCATCAGGCAGGTGAAGTACTGGAAACAAAGAAATAGGTGACCACTATCAGTCTTTAGAACGGTCTGTATACAACAGCACAGGTTTTAGCAAGATTTCATACACAAGAGAAGTCACAACATTGAGCCAACACCTTTGTCAACAGAGAAGCTCTGCTACCAACAGTGCTCTCCCCAGTAAAGGGCAAGCATCTACATCAGACCAGCTCACTTCAGCATTCAACTGCTTTTAAGGAAAGCTTGTCATGTGAGGTTAAACAGTGGTGGCTACTACCACTACAGTCACAACATTGAGCCAACACCTTTGTCAACAGAGAAGCTCTGCTACTAACAGTGCTCTCCCCAGTAAAGGGCTTAAGTACAAGCATCTACATCAGACCAGCTCACTTCAGCATTCATCTGCTTTTAAGGAAAGCTTGACATGTGAGGTTAAACAGTGGTGGCTACTACCACTACATTAGGAGATGCTCCTAATACCAGGGCACACAGAGTGGCCATACCTGGTTTCCTACACACGTGTACTCTGAATAAGCAGGAGTCTAGTAGCAGGCTGAGATACACGAAGCTAGTGTCATCCCATCCATCACAGACAGAAAATTTCCTACAGATGTACCATTTGAAGACAGGCCCTGATGTACAGGACACTCCTAGTCAAGGGAAAATGGCTTTAAACTGAAAGAGGGAGATTGAGATGAGCTCTGAGGCAGAAGTTCTTCCCTGTGAGGGTGCTGAGGCGCTGGCACAGGGTGCCCAGAGAAGCTGTGGCTGCCCCATCCCTGGCAGTGTTCAAGGCCAGGTTGGACACAGGGGCTTGGAGCAACCTGCTCTAGTGGAAGGTGTCCCTGCTCATGGCAGGGGGTTGGAACTGGATGAGCTTTAAGGTCCCTTCAACCCAAACCATTCTGTGATTCTGTGAAGTCTCTCTTGACTCCTGCACCCTCCACAGAAGCTGAACTTGTCCTGCAGCACAGCAGGACACTGTCACTCTTCTCTCTCACTCCCTTGATACTTGTTCCTTGCATCACTGAAAGCACAATACAAACTGGGAAGTTGGGGATGGATGGGCGAGGAGATGAAGTACAGGGTCACCTCCTCAGTTGGTAGTCCTCAACCCACTGTTGGCAGAAAGCATCAGTGACCTCCTCTCCCATTTCAAAGTTTTTAGCTCACCATCAATGTCTGAGCAACTTTTGCTGCAGCCTTTTGACTGCTGGAGAATATAATGTGCAAATTAAGAACTGGATCCAAGTTGACCTGGCACAAGTACCATCCCCAGGAGACCTGAGCCCCAGCTACAATCCAACAGATAGTTTGCAAGCATTAAAGGCTGGCTGTAAAACATAGCATGAATTCTCTCACCAGACCCAAGAGACATCGGATTTCATTGACTGCTCCAAGACAGCCCAGGAAGCCCATCAGCATGGTGAGAGCCCCAACACCAATGAGGATGTATGCACCAGTCTTCAAGGAGGGAGATGACATTTCTGTAGGGGCCAGGAGAGGAAACAAGATTAGCTACTGACAAAATCTACATCTGCCATCACCATTTAGAGAACTGCACCTCTATCTACTTATAATAGTCCGTGGTCTTCTACGAAGGGACTGCACAGAGGCAGGTTGAACATGGAGGCAGAAAGCTGGTTCTGGGTGTCTTCTGATGAAGAAAGACTTTCAAAGCCAACCTGCAGGTCTCCATTATTTCAGAGCCTGGGACACTCAAGGTCACTCCAAACAACTGAACCTTGTTGGATAAAGTTAGCTGCTGGCTGGATTTTTAAGTCCCTCATGAATGCACTCTGAGTGAGAGGAAGATAAAGCACGTTCCACTCCACAACTACTGCCTATTTGCTTCAATTCCTTTTGCTATCCTTCAGGGAAGTGTTTTTTCAGGTCATAAAACCCCTTTTTGGTTTGGCTTTTCACTTTAGTGCACTACTCCTTGTTCCAGCCATTCTGTTTTTAGTTATCCACTTGCAGTCAGTGCACAAACTCTATGCAGCAAGAGCTACAGCTAGTGTTGAGCATAGGCGACGTGACAGATTACTTGACAAGTCAGTGTGAATGGCTTGTGGCCAGGCACTCACTGTGGGCTGTTGCAGCACTTGTGTACAACTACCTGCAAATAGAGGCTATTCCAGCATCAAAACACGTATCATGCCCAAATTAGCTGCTCTTACATATCCTCCTATATGCACACAATAGCTATCCCCTGTTACTGTGTCTGCAATAACCGTACTCTTGAACACTCAAGAGAGGTTTTCAAGCAATTTTAGGTACTATTATTTCAGATATGCTGGTGCTGCCAGTCCTCTCCTCTCAACATTTAGTACTGCAAGCCACAGAAGAAACACACTCTTACATTTGGGTTGGTCACAAGACTGGAGGGAGCAAGCATTGTGGCATAGAAGTTTAAGAGACACTCTGGCTAGGAATAGTAACCAGAAACCTCATTTATCATTAAAAGACATTATTAAACCTGCAAGCTGAGCGGTGTATGGGGATTCTGGGCATCCAGTGAGTAATAAAAACAATGTTCCTAGAGCTCAGCATTTAGTTTCCTGGACAGAAGTCCCAGAAGACAAGCTTCCTCTGAGCTCCTGAAATAGGTTAAGAGACAGTAACCAAATCCAGACTAATGCTCTCCCACCTAACACATCCCCTCCTCCCCTTCTGATACCTGGTGAGAGTCATCAGCTTCCAAACTGTTTCCCTAGAACATGCTGAGCAGAAGAAAATGACCAGTTACCAAAGACAATGAACCAGAGCTGTTTGTCACACAGGTCACTTCATTTCCATGCCAGACTCTCCCTGGCTGGACCACAGCAACCAGTATCCTGCTACTCCTTCTCCACCAGTCCTGGGACTCTTTCTGTGCAGTTAGAAGCTGATATTGCAAAGCCTTTACTGAAGCAGCAGCTTTGCAGGAGTGGCCTTCACAAGACTACACTATTCCCTCTCCCAAAATCTGCTCAGCCAGCATACAAGTGAGCCTGAGTTGCAGCACCTCCAAAATGCTAGAAAGGAGTTGCTTAGTCAACTTAGAGAAGAGAAAAAGGTATTTCCAACTCAAAAACCCTTCAGAGAAGTGGCAAAGGGACCAGAGCCATTGCTCCTCTTCTCAATACATCTTGTCTTGCAAGAGAAAGCTCTGTTGGCAGGATGATTCCTGCTCTGTTTGCTGCTGCTCCGTGTTTTCCCCTGCGCTGGGCAGGCGGCCAAGCAAGTACAACAGGCTCCTTTGGCAGGGCTGGAGTGCCCTGCTGTGCTGAGCTCCCTCCCTGATGCCTGGGTTACTAAAGCAGAGGGAAAGAAGGGCAAGGCCTGGGAAAGGAAGCAAGGGGCAGGGAGAAAGAGCTGATACTGGAAATCTCCAGGAAGGAAGCTAAATCCTTCAGTGCTCCATTAGCAGAGATACTGGGTAAAATGGGAACAAGCAGAGCCAAGCTGAGGGACTTCGTACTTCCACAAGTGATAGTAGCACTCATCAGCCCTGGGGAAACAGCTGCTGGCCCGCTGGTACTAAACATGCCTCAGACTGTGAATAGCCAGGCCCTGATAAGCTCTTTTTGGCTCCCTATATTAGAAGTGTGTTTCTGCTCATGCCCCCACTTTATTAACAAACACTTCTTGTTGTGCTTCTTGCCCTCCCAGTACTGCAGGAGTAAGCCAGATGCCACAGCACAGCAAACAGAGCAGCAGTATCTGTGTGTATGGCATTAGTGGGAGTGTTGTTTCCACACAGCACCTTCCAAAGCCAGGCTGGAGCATTCAGGAGGACTTGGGACACAGATAAACCCCTTTGCAGTGGAGCTGGGAACAGGGCAATGAATGCCATTACTGCAGTGTGCAGGCAGCCCTCCTGCAGCATCTGACGCTGGTGCCAGAGTCAGCAATGCTGGAGGTAGTGGCATTGAGTAACCAGACCAGCCAAGCAGAAAAGTTGTTTGAAACCCCCTCTAGAACAAAGCCCAAAGGAAGCAGAGCTTGTGAAAGATGGAGCTGAGCTACTCATTTGGTGAGAGGCCACTTCCAGCTCTGCAAAGCCCAGGCTCTGCTAAGCCAGCTCAGGCTTTTGGGTTGTTGTAGAAAGCAGACCTTCTGTTAAGACTCAAGTCGATGCTGTTGGCTGACTTAGAGGAAGGAAACAAGCTACCACCTACCACCTGCAGGGACACAAACCACTTCTGATGGGCAGGCTAAGTCTCATGAAGCATGTATAAATCAAGTATGCTTTAGAAGTCACGCACTGAAGACTTCACAGACCCATATCTTCTACCCCCCCTCAGATCTACATCTTGTACTGCTTATAGACAAACATACTGTCTCCTTTCAATGTACATTAAGCATCATAAAACCAGGTACTTTCTTGCTTTGGCATTTAAAACAGTCAAATTGAAATAGATCATTACAGAAAGCGGTGGGAGCATAGGGGACTCTGACAGAAAAACTACATTAAGGCATTGGGGGCCTTTGGACACTATGGTAATAAGGAGGCTGTTGTGGAAACACAGAGCATGCAGTGAAGATAGGATGAAATACTAGCCCTTATGTTTAAGTTGAAGGATTTGGATTGTTGGGTGAAGAGGCAATGGTCTGACCCTGGTGTTGTAATCCACAAAACTAGGAGGAATGCTGTGTCTCCAGGGTTGTTCCCTTTCTCCCTTTCCCCGATAGGGTCCCATCGTGCTATACACCATGTTACTGCTCAGGTCACAGACCATACACAGAAGTATTGCTGTCCCTAGACTACATCATGGTCAAACACAGCCCCTGACTAGAGGCAGTTCAGAAGGAGAAATAACATGAAGAAACATGGGCTTACGTAGAACAGCGATGAAACTGGTTTTGTCAGCCAGAATCCATATCCCAAACCCCAGGATCACAGCACCCAGGATCTGAAAGAGCAAGAACAAACACATTAACTGGCTTATTAGTTTAGACAAAGAAGATGCAGCAGTCTCCATACTTCCAGAGTAAAAACAACCATCCTTTTGGTGTTCCCAACCATCTTCCCCATGGCATCCTCCCAGAGTAAACAGGATTAGCACAACTCCAGGAAGAGCACCTCAGCCAGCTGCACAGGAGCCCCAGGTTCTGCTCGGCAGTCCTTCACACAGTACTTCAGTAGTACATGATGTTGTATTGGAGGACTGTTTGGAACTGTCTGAGGAAGAGCCTCCCTGCTGCTAGAACCTTGTTGTCAGGAGCAGAACGTAAGCACGACGCTTCTGTGAAGAACTGAGGAAGGCCAAACACATCTAGCATCTGATTTTAAAGATGTTTTTGGAATACAGAAATCCCTGACCCTACGGGACCAGGCTTCAAGCCAGCTGCCGAAGAATTAGATATCTGGCAGCTGGAACCTTCCCAGGAAGGAAATCTTTGTCTTGTCAGGCTCTGTTTTAACAGTATGGCTGCAACCCACAAATGCAATAAAGCAGCAGCGTTTACTTTGTGTGCAGATTCCCATGAGTGAAGTGCTTTTCCCCTTCCAAAGCCCAAGCTTAGGCAGTTTGGCTTGGTCACTACAGCACAATACCCCAGGCCCCCAAGCCAACACATCCGATGACCAACAGAGTCAAGCATTATGAAACATCAGCCATGGCCTCTGCCTTGCTCACCACAGTCTTATCCAGGGCAAGGATTAGTAGAGCAATATGTCCCTGTGAGGACTCAGCTGAATCCAGACATTGAATTGAGAAGGCAAAAGACATACAGTTTTCCCATATCATTTTGAAGGGAGGATAGGGGAAAAGCATGCTCTGTTTTAGCTTCTAGGTATCACCATGCTCTATAGTACACTGTGAGGTGTTTGCAAGTAGATGACACCAGATCCCGAACAAGGATGAGAGCACCTTTACACCCATAATAAAGTGAGTTGAGAAGCCTTTAAGTCTTCAGGTTTGGAAAGAAGCTGAAACTTGTGCTGTTCAGCCAACAAGAGGCAAAGGCTGGAAACCACTTGTCAAGCAAAGATCTAAGACACTGAAAGAACAAGAGAAGGACAAGGAGTGCAAGTGAGATGCCTCCAGAGGACATGAACTGCAACCAGCAGTTCTTACACCAGCAGGATTTCAAGATAAGATAAAGTAAAATACTGAATAAACCAACAGAGCTGAAGAGAGATTGCAATTCTGTGCTTTGCTAGAGAACGTTCTGATACTTGGGAGCCAAGGGAAAAGCCAAACCACCACCCTAAGCAAGCTGGCAAAGAGGGTTGTATGGACAGGCACCAGCTCCACATCTTGCAAGTTTACACTATGCTTCAGCTCCTCATACAGAGCAGCTTTTCTGAGCAAAGATAAAGCAACAGTCTGAAATAAGCTGCTTGCAAGCTTTTCTGGCGTGGCAGAGGACACAACATGTATCTAGCTCTGGGGACAGGATTAGAAAGTCACCAGGCAAGTTCCTCATCTAGGAAGATGGATGAAGAAGACTGACAGCTGCAGGAAAGATGTAGCTGTTGTATCCCAGAAAAACATCATCATCATCATAATAATAATGGTAAGATGGCAGTAACAGTAATAATAATAATAATAATT